AAACTTGTAATTTTGATCAAGTAGGCCCTAGATCTCTAGTTTACGTTTCCATCTAGTGCGGACAAAAGTATTGCCGCTGAATGTTTTTCATTAACTGTTCGATAAGGGTTGGGTAGGGTATCCGACCTCAACTGTGGACCTACTTTAGAAAAACAAACTAAGCCGAACAACACCCTGGATTTTTTCTAATTTAGACCTCAGCTACCCAGCTTCCTTTTGCACCTAGTGCGGACAAAAGTATTGCCGTAGAATTTTTTTATTAAATTTTTTGTAAGGGTGGGGTTGGGTGTCCGACCCCAACTTTGGACCTACTTAAAAAAAAAAACTAAGCCTAAACAACAAGCTGGATTCATTCCAGTAGACCTCAGCTACCGAGCTTCGAATTCCCTTTGCACACAGTGCGGACAAAAGTATTGCCGTAGACATTTGTTTATTAACTGTTCGGTAATGGTGGGGTAGGGTGAGTAGCTGAGGTCTACTCGAGAAAAAATCCAGGGTGATGTTCGGCTTAGTCTTTTTTTATAATGTAATATGTAATATGCTGGCATATTATGAAAGCTCACGCCTTAATTGATAGACATAGAAATGAAGAAAAAACGTATGATAACCAAAACAATCTACCAGAGACAAAATAACGTTGGTTAAGGCAACTTGTATGATGGTCTGGATGCGGGGTTCTTCATTTCTGTATTCTTTGATATTTTAGGCCATTTTTCTCTATTCCTAATACTTTTTGCCAATCATAAATCTCTTCTCTTTATATTTTAACACCATTATTCTATTTTATTTATTTCTTGGGCCATTGTATCTATTATTTATATTTTTGCCCACTATTCTCTATTCCATAAACCCCCATCCAGGCCCTCTAGTTAAGGTCACCATATAGCCTTCACAATGCAAATAAGCAAAATAATACCGAATAGGCTCCGAATGGCAAAAAGATTAAATGCTAATCCCGGTTTGAATTGTAAAATTGCGGAAATTTGTATTTAATCAATTGATCAAGGAAAGCCACATTATCGTCCTGAATGTTCGTATAATACTGGCAGATGGACCTTGGTCATCAATTCTAATCATCTTAGATCGGCCTTTCTAAACTTAAAAGTAAAGATCACGCACACTTATATTTCAGATTGAGTGTTTTGCATCCGTCGACATTATCTTCGATTTGATAACCGCTGTGAATGTATACTTCTTAACGACCGGGTTAGTTTTCTTATCAGTTTTAAAAGTAGTAACCTCCCTTGTTAGTGTGATATTGTAATCAATCTATTTATTTGTACCATCTTTGTATAATATTATATTGTACAATTTAGAATTGTGATTCTTTTAATATTTAAATATAATAATTTATTTTTCATCAAAGATATAAACAAGGTAATTTGAAAGTCTTTGATTCATTTATCACCGTAGATCAATTCAGAAGTCAGGCGGTCTATTTTGTCTACATTATGTTGAAAGAACACCGGGGTGTTAACATTGGCAATATTTACTATCAATGACTGTTAAACAAGAAATAAAAACATTGTACATTATAAAACGAGAAATAATTAAAATTAAATACAAAACTCTTCTTTAGTGAATTCAAAAACGAAAAACGGAAACACTTTTGATTTTCATTTTGGATTTAGAGAAATCAAAAACAAAAAATGAAAACACTTTCCTTTTCCGTTTTGGTTTTAGGTTCAAAATGAAAAACGAATGGACGCAAATATACACGGACCAATAAGGCCCTTGACCCTCTGTTTTTGTTTGATATTAGAAAGAAATTTATTGAATTTTAACCACTTCTATCATTTAATTTTTCCTCAATTAGTTTCACCTATATAACACATATAAAATAACTGTGATTTAGTTAATTTTAATGTATTATGATGAAAAAACAAGGTCCGTGACCCCCATTTTTTATATTGAAATTTATTCACACCCCAGCTACCTTAAATCTATTTAAGATCAACTTTGCCTGATGGAGTTGGAACCTTTTTTTTTTATAACATAATGAGATATGGCAGGATTGCCAATGAGACAACTCACCAACAGAGTTCAACTGACGAAGATAAAAACAATTATAGGTCACCGTGGTCAGTTTTAAAAGGACCCGACAAGGAATTAAAATGTGCAACTATTTAAACAATAAATAATTTATAAATTTATAAACGGACAATTAAAGAAATGTATGTTACAAATCATGTTAGTACCGAGGACTGACCACGGAGCTGACGATACCCTCGGGGACTTATAATCCACCAGCAGTGGTTTCAACCCAGTGCTTTAGAAATAATAATACTATATAGAGTGTATGCGTCCGTAGCGCTTTTCTGGATTTTCCTTCATCAGAAATTTGATACAGCTTATTTATTTTGGTAGTACGGCCCATCTTCTTAGCAAGAGGATAGGTCATACTCCTCAACTATAGTATTTTCCTGGAAAATTTGTTCCTTAACAAGGGAACTATATTTTTTGATGAAAATCCTTTGTTTTATTTTTAAAAAAGTGTATCGGTTACCTTAAAATATCATTGAACCGTTAAAATATTAATAAATGATATTATATATGTAACGTGAGGGTACCCAAATTGTACCTATTTTGACAGTTTTTTCACCTACGTGTATTTATGATCCAGACAAAAGTTTCCATTCTGTGTTTATTTTGTAGATGTATCCTTATTTACTATATAGTTCCACCAATTTAATTTTGAATCCATATTGAATCATAGAAAAATGGGTTTGAACCAACCTCTAAACGATCTATGATTCTGTAATGAGGAGTACCCAAATTGCATACATGCTTAAATTCATATCCTTAAAAACCGAATAACAGATGTTTTGTTATATTTCTTCGAATATTTAGAACAATTTGACATTAGTCTATGCTTACTATTAATTTTTTTAAGAAATGGATGCTCGTAACATATTTTATTTGCTCATTTTTAAAAGATGACTTTTTGTGGACGTCGCATGGCAACGTTTCCGTAGATTTTACTTTTTCCAGTGACTACTTCATCTGTTGATATATATTGTGAACGTTTTGTGAATATTTAAATATATTTACCTATTTGAAAGACGAGCATAATGTCAAATAATAAAAAAATACAAATTGTTTAGTCCCTAAGAAAACTTGTAAGATTTTCGCTGCTATTTTTGCTAAATAGGTGCAATTAAGGTACTGTGACGTTAGCTCTAGTGTGCAAGTTTCCCATTGTGAGTTTAGGTTTACGACATACAGGTACGGTCTAGAAAGATAATATTGGGTGGGTTTGTGTGACCGTGAATCAGGTTTAGGGTGAGGGTTGGCGCCTGTTAAAACGTTTAAACCCGCTGCATTTTCATGCATCTGTCCTAAGTCAGGAGCCTGTTGTTTAGTGGTTGTCGTTTGTTGGTGTGGTTCATAGGTGTTTCTCGTTTTTAAATAGATTAGACCGTTGGTTTTCCTGTTTGAATTGTTTTACACTAGTCATTTTGGGGCCCTTTATAGCTTGCTGTTCGGTGTGAGCCAAGGCTCCGTGTTGAAGGCCGTACTTTGACCAATAATTGTTAACTTTTTATACATTGTGACTTGGATGGAGAGTTGTCTCATTGGCACTCATACCACATCTTCTTATTTATATTATCCCATCCTATTTTGTGCCTGTACCAAATCACTTCATCTTGGTTATGTTAGATATATGTACGTTTTATTTTCATGAGTATTTATTAATTATCATATATTTGCAGGTAAGAAGAAACATGCTTTCAGATGTCGGCATAGTCTACAGTAATATCAGATGTCGGCATAGTCCACAGTAATATCAGATGTCGGCATAGTCTACAGTAATATCAGATGTCGGCATAGTCTACAGTAATATCAGATGTCGGCATAGTCTACAGTAATATCAGATGTCGGCATAGTCTACAGTAATATCAGATGTCGGCATAGTCTACAATAATATAAGATGTCGGCATAGTCTACAGTAATATCAGCTATAAAGAATTTGTGCAGTTTTTACTGCTATGAAACAGATCACGACCAATTACAGATCTCTCGGTCTCCAGAAATTACCGCTATAAAACGATCATACTATGCTGTCTTATATTCTACTACATTCGAGTAGACTGGCGATTTTAGTACCAGATTATAACTTAATTGTAGGAGTCGATACATGTATAACACAGGCACTTGTCTCTGAAAAAAATTCCTATATACAATAATATAACATATTAAGGTATAAAGAAATTTTTTTCAGAGACAAATGCCTGTGATGTATAAAGAAAATGTTTCACCAATCCTCGTTACATGCTGAATGACTACACAACATGGTGAAATGTTAGCAGTTATATGTATGTTTCTACAATAGAGAGCATAAACCGAAACATATTGAATTTGTGTTGAAAAGTAGTAAAAATAAAAAATGAAAGCAAATATAATGAATGGTTGAAACTTTTCAGTTGATAAATAAAATTAATCACATTTAAGTATGTATATTTTAAATGGCTTAGTGACACGAATGGTCTAGGGCGTTGGTATATGTAACATTGCAAGCGGCATTTAATGTCTAACAGCTTGATGAGCTTAAATTCTAACCCCATTGAACGTATACACTACTTGAAATGATGATGATGATGGCGGCTGTTTATCGTCCATGCAGTGACAAATTAAATGCATATTCAGGACGAATACACGTTTATAATGTGATATGAAAATAAACCCTGCTTTGTACCAGACTGAAATGCTGAGCCGGATTGTAAACGTGCTAATTCACACGGTTACCATCCACAAAACCCTAACCGGACACACTATTGACACCGAGCCGACAAGTCTTTGCTCTTATACTCCTTAATGCCGCATACTTAGCAGAGAATCAGCAAATACCAATTTTCAAGTCTTTGGTTCGACCCGGCCGACCCGACCACAGCCTCTCGCACTCGAGGTGAGCACGCTACCACGACCCTTCCGACGCGGTCTGAAATCTAGATATTTTACAGTATATTATTTACGTAACTTTAAAACAACTTAACAATGTCTTTACCAGTCATATACAAATAAATTTTAATGAAGAACATGATAATTTGAGTGATGTAATTTATACACGTGAATGGTTGAATTGAAAAGAAAATATCTTAACATCAATAAAGAATAGAAAGAGAAGAAACAAATAAAGCATACATCTTAGTACAGGTGATTTCAAGACAACCTTTCATTCAAAGAATTTCTTGTCATTTTAATCATTGTCTCTATTTCCGTGTCTGTTGGGAGAAAACGTTTTAATTCCTCAGTACATGTACGTATTTTTACTGCCATTATACTGTGTTCACATAATTGTTCCTCATTTACGTGATGTATGGAAATTAATGTTCGATACATCTCTCTTTCTGCAAATTGAACGATGGAGCTCCACTTTGAAGTAGTGTGAAAGGGTCTGTGTTTTAGACAAATCCTACTCCAAAACGCTACCCATTGTAAAAAGGCTGTTTCTATTTCCCAAAACCCATCAAGCAAGTTTCCAATTGATAAGCACTCTTTCATTAAAGTGTCCATATTTGATTGACATTTCTTTAACAGTTTGTCCGTTTCATCGCATGCACGTCGTGTCATAACGTCATAAATTTTCTTTGACCCCTTGGCTGTAATTTTACCTCCTGCAGCAAGCAAGCCACCTGTAAAACAATAATATCTCTACATTACAATGTCAAAAGTAAAAAATTGTTTAACGAATCGTTTGTATATACCGTATTGAGTCTTGCTGACTTGTATTATATACACGTGTGAAATACGCCTATCAGAAACATGTTATCCCGAATGCAAAGTTTCAAAGTTAAATATTCTAACTATAGCTGATAAAATATATTTATGAACGTGAATTTCCCGGAATATCCTAGACATTATCAAACCGGAATGAACTTTTACATACAAAAACAAGAGAAATGCCTGCTCCAAATTAAGTCGGCATTATTGTTTCGGCTCAGCGGATCTTTTAGTTTCGTTTGATATTTACGCCACCTTGAAATTTTTACTCTACAATTATCGATGACATTTTTCTTAAAGGTCATCAATAATACAATGCAGATTCTTGAAATTTTAATTTGGAATGTTAGGAATTACCAAAGTAAAGTCGACTTTTAGTTTTATATCGGTTCTGATTGGTTGTTTTATGAAGCGGTTAAGGTTTAATTGGCTAGAATGAGATATTGAATTGGGTACATGGCCTAGACAGGAGAAGATATATAATGCGGAAGAAAAGGAATAAATCACAGTATACACAGTATAGGGAGTCGAGACTTTATTGCTTTATGTTGACGTAATTTCTGTTACTGCAAAGCTCTCCGTACCTTTTTATAAAAGTTAAACTTATCGTATGTTTTTCCTCAAAATAGTATAGGCATATTCAAAGCGTAATTTCAGCAATGTGTAATGTCTTATATAATTGTTTGGATGTTTGATATTTTCCATGATTTATTGATAAAATTTTATTTTTTGAAATATATCTAAGAACCTTTTATATGTATATGAAATGCTTCGAATGAAATAAATACTGTGCATTTTTCATATTCATTGATTCACTAACCTGTTGGTATCAGAGATGCTCCAAATGAAAATGGTGCTAAAAGTAACCCAACACCTGCCAAACCTGCACCCAAAATAAATGCTTTCGATCCGCCGTTACCAGCACCTCGAGCTATTTTGTGATAATGATCGAGTTCGTTTGATATTTTTGTCATCTTTTCAACTGATTCCTCTGCAACTGAAACCCAACTCCTCAGAGCATTATCCAAGTTTTCCAATCGATCAAACACTTTTGATGGATGTCTTTTTATTTTCCTAAAAGAACAACACGTAGTTAATATAATTATATATTATGTTCATTTTGTAATCAATTCGAGAAAAAATTGAAAATCGGAAAACATACAATTCAATAAAATGTATACAGAATTTTATTTTTTTTTAAATTTTTGGAAAGAAAGATGTAATATTACATAGAAAGTAACGCTGTCATCAAATAAATTCGCCTATAGTGTCCTTAAGCACTAGTTCCTTCTGAGATATTTTAATTGCTTAAATGATTACTTAAGAGTTACCTAACTTGAGCACCGCTGCAGTCAAAACTCCCTCCAGAAGTTATTTCTCTCCATTTTCGTTCTACTAAAATACGAATAAAGTCATTATAATTTACACAATCATAATCAACTCTTTCCTTTTCGTGTTTGACTAGTTGTAATTGGTTGGATCTTTGTTCAATTTCTGCTTTTACCAAACGTAATTTCGACAGAATCTTATCGATCAACTTGCATAAGTAGTAGTTGTTTTACGTCCAAAAAAAAGGGGGGATCTACGTAGGTATACACGTCGAAAGTAAACGTCACCATGTTAGTAATAAAGTCGATTTTTACTTAAAACAACACGAGGTAAGAATAAATTACGGGATCTATACACATTGTGTTCATCGAATTTCAATCTAAATAAAATTAACGTTGAGCGCTATATGTAATTCAGAACAAAATTTATATCAGTTGTCCTTTGTAACTAGAAACTTGAACCAGTAATAGAAATCCGATGGAACCAGTTAGAGAAAGACGATGGAATAAGTAATAATTATTTACCTTCTTCTTCCTCCTCATTCATTGTGGGAATTACTGGACTATTGCTATGTTTTAATTTTCTGTTGTGATGAACGGTCGTCTCTAAAATGTAGAAGTGTACTTCTTGTTAACAGGAACTTATAATAATTGACGTTCTGTGTACTTTACAGAGTCAAATATATATCAACTATCTTTTCGAAATATTTATAATATATTGTGTTTAATATGCAAAGTACAAGTGTGTGCTATCTTTTGTACATTGTGAAATGTTGAGCATAAAAATTTGCTTTGTAAGACATCACAATTCGTAGCTCCATTGTATAATAATGCTATGGTATTATTACCAGACTCAAGCTAGCGAACAATAAGCCAGCGAACAATAAGGTGTATCAAGCTAGCGAACAATAAGCCAGCGAACAATAAGAAATACGCGCCAAACTGATCACGCCTAAAAACCGAAGACTTATATTAACATGAAACGTCCCTTGAAATCTGATGACAATCATTTCCAGTAGAAAGACGAAATGCTATACATTTTCACAAAGACAAAATTGATTTTTTATTTATATATTTATTTAAAAAAACATAATTTTTCTTGACAGCCGAGCATCTCTTATAGGATTTTCAAAATTAATTTTAGATACTCCTCTCCCTTTTGATTACCTTTGATTACAAACGGCTTGTCTCTATAATAATGAATAATAAAAATAGACCATACTCATCTAGTGTAAAGATGAAATTAAATCCACATGCTGATACATACAGTTTTTAGAACGTCAAGTACAGAATTATAAGTAAAAGCTAATACATATCAACAGTTTTCGTTTTGGTACGATTGAAAATAGGCAATTTATTTCTTTCATTTTAAAAGGAAATGTGTTTTATGTGACGGTGATACACATGAAGCACGAGATATGAATTGATATGAAGATTTTAGCTAATTTAACCGACAAAATGTTCAAAGCTAATTTAACCGACAAAATGTTCAAATCCAAGAAAATGTTTCACCAATCCTCGTTACATGCTGAATGACTACACAACATGGTGAAATGTTAGCAGTTATATGTATGTTTCTACAATAGAGAGCATAAACCGAAACATATTGAATTTGTGTTGAAAAGTAGTAAAAATAAAAAATGAAAGCAAATATAATGAATGGTTGAAACTTTTCAGTTGATAAATAAAATTAATCACATTTAAGTATGTATATTTTAAATGGCTTAGTGACACGAATGGTCTAGGGCGTTGGTATATGTAACATTGCAAGCGGCATTTAATGTCTAACAGCTTGATGAGCTTAAATTCTAACCCCATTGAACGTATACACTACTTGAAATGATGATGATGATGGCGGCTGTTTATCGTCCATGCAGTGACAAATTAAATGCATATTCAGGACGAATACACGTTTATAATGTGATATGAAAATAAACCCTGCTTTGTACCAGACTGAAATGCTGAGCCGGATTGTAAACGTGCTAATTCACACGGTTACCATCCACAAAACCCTAACCGGACACACTATTGACACCGAGCCGACAAGTCTTTGCTCTTATACTCCTTAATGCCGCATACTTAGCAGAGAATCAGCAAATACCAATTTTCAAGTCTTTGGTTCGACCCGGCCGACCCGACCACAGCCTCTCGCACTCGAGGTGAGCACGCTACCACGACCCTTCCGACGCGGTCTGAAATCTAGATATTTTACAGTATATTATTTACGTAACTTTAAAACAACTTAACAATGTCTTTACCAGTCATATACAAATAAATTTTAATGAAGAACATGATAATTTGAGTGATGTAATTTATACACGTGAATGGTTGAATTGAAAAGAAAATATCTTAACATCAATAAAGAATAGAAAGAGAAGAAACAAATAAAGCATACATCTTAGTACAGGTGATTTCAAGACAACCTTTCATTCAAAGAATTTCTTGTCATTTTAATCATTGTCTCTATTTCCGTGTCTGTTGGGAGAAAACGTTTTAATTCCTCAGTACATGTACGTATTTTTACTGCCATTATACTGTGTTCACATAATTGTTCCTCATTTACGTGATGTATGGAAATTAATGTTCGATACATCTCTCTTTCTGCAAATTGAACGATGGAGCTCCACTTTGAAGTAGTGTGAAAGGGTCTGTGTTTTAGACAAATCCTACTCCAAAACGCTACCCATTGTAAAAAGGCTGTTTCTATTTCCCAAAACCCATCAAGCAAGTTTCCAATTGATAAGCACTCTTTCATTAAAGTGTCCATATTTGATTGACATTTCTTTAACAGTTTGTCCGTTTCATCGCATGCACGTCGTGTCATAACGTCATAAATTTTCTTTGACCCCTTGGCTGTAATTTTACCTCCTGCAGCAAGCAAGCCACCTGTAAAACAATAATATCTCTACATTACAATGTCAAAAGTAAAAAATTGTTTAACGAATCGTTTGTATATACCGTATTGAGTCTTGCTGACTTGTATTATATACACGTGTGAAATACGCCTATCAGAAACATGTTATCCCGAATGCAAAGTTTCAAAGTTAAATATTCTAACTATAGCTGATAAAATATATTTATGAACGTGAATTTCCCGGAATATCCTAGACATTATCAAACCGGAATGAACTTTTACATACAAAAACAAGAGAAATGCCTGCTCCAAATTAAGTCGGCATTATTGTTTCGGCTCAGCGGATCTTTTAGTTTCGTTTGATATTTACGCCACCTTGAAATTTTTACTCTACAATTATCGATGACATTTTTCTTAAAGGTCATCAATAATACAATGCAGATTCTTGAAATTTTAATTTGGAATGTTAGGAATTACCAAAGTAAAGTCGACTTTTAGTTTTATATCGGTTCTGATTGGTTGTTTTATGAAGCGGTTAAGGTTTAATTGGCTAGAATGAGATATTGAATTGGGTACATGGCCTAGACAGGAGAAGATATATAATGCGGAAGAAAAGGAATAAATCACAGTATACACAGTATAGGGAGTCGAGACTTTATTGCTTTATGTTGACGTAATTTCTGTTACTGCAAAGCTCTCCGTACCTTTTTATAAAAGTTAAACTTATCGTATGTTTTTCCTCAAAATAGTATAGGCATATTCAAAGCGTAATTTCAGCAATGTGTAATGTCTTATATAATTGTTTGGATGTTTGATATTTTCCATGATTTATTGATAAAATTTTATTTTTTGAAATATATCTAAGAACCTTTTATATGTATATGAAATGCTTCGAATGAAATAAATACTGTGCATTTTTCATATTCATTGATTCACTAACCTGTTGGTATCAGAGATGCTCCAAATGAAAATGGTGCTAAAAGTAACCCAACACCTGCCAAACCTGCACCCAAAATAAATGCTTTCGATCCGCCGTTACCAGCACCTCGAGCTATTTTGTGATAATGATCGAGTTCGTTTGATATTTTTGTCATCTTTTCAACTGATTCCTCTGCAACTGAAACCCAACTCCTCAGAGCATTATCCAAGTTTTCCAATCGATCAAACACTTTTGATGGATGTCTTTTTATTTTCCTAAAAGAACAACACGTAGTTAATATAATTATATATTATGTTCATTTTGTAATCAATTCGAGAAAAAATTGAAAATCGGAAAACATACAATTCAATAAAATGTATACAGAATTTTATTTTTTTTTAAATTTTTGGAAAGAAAGATGTAATATTACATAGAAAGTAACGCTGTCATCAAATAAATTCGCCTATAGTGTCCTTAAGCACTAGTTCCTTCTGAGATATTTTAATTGCTTAAATGATTACTTAAGAGTTACCTAACTTGAGCACCGCTGCAGTCAAAACTCCCTCCAGAAGTTATTTCTCTCCATTTTCGTTCTACTAAAATACGAATAAAGTCATTATAATTTACACAATCATAATCAACTCTTTCCTTTTCGTGTTTGACTAGTTGTAATTGGTTGGATCTTTGTTCAATTTCTGCTTTTACCAAACGTAATTTCGACAGAATCTTATCGATCAACTTGCATAAGTAGTAGTTGTTTTACGTCCAAAAAAAAGGGGGGATCTACGTAGGTATACACGTCGAAAGTAAACGTCACCATGTTAGTAATAAAGTCGATTTTTACTTAAAACAACACGAGGTAAGAATAAATTACGGGATCTATACACATTGTGTTCATCGAATTTCAATCTAAATAAAATTAACGTTGAGCGCTATATGTAATTCAGAACAAAATTTATATCAGTTGTCCTTTGTAACTAGAAACTTGAACCAGTAATAGAAATCCGATGGAACCAGTTAGAGAAAGACGATGGAATAAGTAATAATTATTTACCTTCTTCTTCCTCCTCATTCATTGTGGGAATTACTGGACTATTGCTATGTTTTAATTTTCTGTTGTGATGAACGGTCGTCTCTAAAATGTAGAAGTGTACTTCTTGTTAACAGGAACTTATAATAATTGACGTTCTGTGTACTTTACAGAGTCAAATATATATCAACTATCTTTTCGAAATATTTATAATATATTGTGTTTAATATGCAAAGTACAAGTGTGTGCTATCTTTTGTACATTGTGAAATGTTGAGCATAAAAATTTGCTTTGTAAGACATCACAATTCGTAGCTCCATTGTATAATAATGCTATGGTATTATTACCAGACTCAAGCTAGCGAACAATAAGCCAGCGAACAATAAGGTGTATCAAGCTAGCGAACAATAAGCCAGCGAACAATAAGAAATACGCGCCAAACTGATCACGCCTAAAAACCGAAGACTTATATTAACATGAAACGTCCCTTGAAATCTGATGACAATCATTTCCAGTAGAAAGACGAAATGCTATACATTTTCACAAAGACAAAATTGATTTTTTATTTATATATTTATTTAAAAAAACATAATTTTTCTTGACAGCCGAGCATCTCTTATAGGATTTTCAAAATTAATTTTAGATACTCCTCTCCCTTTTGATTACCTTTGATTACAAACGGCTTGTCTCTATAATAATGAATAATAAAAATAGACCATACTCATCTAGTGTAAAGATGAAATTAAATCCACATGCTGATACATACAGTTTTTAGAACGTCAAGTACAGAATTATAAGTAAAAGCTAATACATATCAACAGTTTTCGTTTTGGTACGATTGAAAATAGGCAATTTATTTCTTTCATTTTAAAAGGAAATGTGTTTTATGTGACGGTGATACACATGAAGCACGAGATATGAATTGATATGAAGATTTTAGCTAATTTAACCGACAAAATGTTCAAAGCTAATTTAACCGACAAAATGTTCAAATCCAAGATTATTACAGCTTTTCAAAAAGGCAAGTCCTTTGCACTGATTCGAATTAACAAAAAAGGATAGAATCACACCAATACAAAATATTTCAGTTTAACATAAGAACGATAATCAGGGAACTGTTCAAAGATGGGGTATGATGACCCAACCCCCTCCCTTCTTTAATTCATAAAAAAGTTCCCACGGATAAGCTTTTGTCCACAATAGGTACAAACGATAGGCAATTGCCTAAGGTTGCCTGGACCCAAAGACCCAGGTGGGTAAAGTTACGGAACTTTTTTAATTGAGGTCCAAAGTTGGGGTATGGTGACCCAACCCCTCCCTTCTTTAATTCATAAAAAAGTTCCCACGGCAAAGCTTTTGTCCACAAAAGGTACAAACGATAGGCAATTGCCTAAGGTTGCCTGGACCCAAAGACCCAGGTGGGTAAAGTTACGGAACTTTTTTAATTGAGGTCCAAAGTTGGGGTATGGTGACCCAACCCCCTCCCTTCTTTAATTCATAAAAAAGTTCCCACGGCAAAGCTTTTGTCCACAATAGGTACAAACGATAGGCAATTGCCTAAGGTTGCCTGGACCCAAAGACCCAGGTGGGTAAAGTTACGGAACTTTTTTAATTGAGGTCCAAAGTTGGGGTATGGTGACCCAACCCCTCCCTTCTTTAATTCATAAAAAAGTTCCTACGGCAAAGCTTTTGTCCACAATAGGTACAAACGATAGGCAATTGCCTAAGGTTGCCTGGACCCAAAGACCCAGGTGGGTAAAGTTACGGAACTTTTTTAATTGAGGTCCAAAGTTGGGGTTTGGTGACCCAACCCCCTCCCTTCTTTAATTCATAAAAAAGTTCCTACGGCAAAGCAATTGTCCACAATACGCACAAACGATAGGCAATTGCCTAAGGTTGCCTGGACCCAAAGACCCAGGTGGTTAAAGTTACGGACCGTCCACAACTGAGGTCCAAGTTGGGGTATTTCACCTTTCTACTTTAATTCATAAAAAAAGTTGCGCGCCCTACATTGATACATAAAATAGTTCTCAAGCCTTTAACAAAAAGAAGAACGATCTCCGCTTTTTCAAAAAGAAATCAATTAACTCAAACGCCTTTCTTTTGAAAGGTAAACATTTCGATAGGTTATACATTGTCTATACGTTTATCCTACTAAAAATGTTATTTTAGGAACTATTTGACAGGATGCCGAAAGTACGGAAAGCCATTTCACACAACACATAGCTTCTAGTTGAAAAGTTGATAAAATAACAGGGAATGCTGTTTACTCTTCGAATTATTTAACAAATTTGTAAAATTATCTGCAAAAACCAACAAACTATATAAACAGTCAACTGACGACGATAACTAATAAGTAGATCTTATTGATACTAATAGGATCATTTTTGGTGAAATTTTTTTGTAAAAGTAAACGGATGATGACGGCGGACGACTACGGACTACAAACGACAGACGCCAAATGTTGTAAAAAGCTCATACTGACCCTTAGGGCCAGATTAGATATAATAGTTAATGCGTATTTATTAATACGCAATACTTCAAGTTAACCTCAGTTGTAGACGATCCGTAACTTAACCCACCTGGGTTTTTGGGTCCAGGCAACCTTAGGCAATTGCCTATCATTTGCACCTAGTGTGGACAAAAGCTTTGCCGTAGGGACTTTTTTATGAATTAAAGAAGGGAGGGGGTTGGGTCTCAATACCCCAACTTTGGAGCTCAGTTGTAGACGATCCGTAACTTTACCCACTTGGGTCTTTGGGTCCAGGCAATATTAGGTAATTGCCTATCATTTGTGATTATTGGAAAAGTTTTATTAACCTGGAATTTAAAAAAATTGTCGTTTAGATTAACCAAAATCTTTATGTTAATTCGTTTCTCGTTCTATTTGTGTGCCACTCTTACACTAATCACTCTTCCTATCGAAATATAATAAATAAATTACCAGTTTAACGACACACTTTTGAAAAATGTACTAGTTCTTAGACAAAAGAAGAAAATTGCGTATAGTTATCAACTTTCATTTCAACAGGAAATATAACAAGAAATACTTGACGTTCTAAATTGGTCTGTTTTTGTTCTTTTCTTTTCTTTTCAAACGCATATATAAACTAGAAGATTTAATTGTTTCGTTACACTAGTTTAGTATGAACTATTGTTATTAATTGTTTCATTATTATAAAGACAACAAACCCATCTCTAATCAGAGAACACTAAAAAGAGAAAGGATTAGCTAAATGGAATTTTAGATGCCCGGCTTTAAAACAAAGTTGTATTAAATAAACAAATAACTTATATATTTTGTCTGTGTGAAAATGCATTTCGTCGTCCTACTAGAAACGATTATCATCAGATTTCAAAGTACGTTTCATGTTATTGGAAGTCTTCGGTTTTTAGGCATGATCAGGTTGGCGCGTTTTCTTATTGTTCGCTGGCTTATTGTTCGCTAGCTTGATGCATCTTATTGTTCGCTGGCTTATTGTTCGCTAGCTTGTATCTGGTGCTTTATAAATCGTGTTCATTCATTCCGTATCCGTGTTCTTGCTATTGATCATGTTGTGTAGTTATCTCAGCTAAACTACATTGTTCTTATTAACTACCTTTCTACTTAAGCAATACTTCCTCCTTGGAGATACGATATATACGTGATTTCACAATTATACGATATTGTTGAATTATTGGCTCATTAATTTCGAATATCGACATGCATTTGCATTTTACCCCTATGATCTATTTTTAGCCAAGTCAGTCATCTTGGTTGGCAGACAGGGTTATCGGACACATTAACAAATACCTAAATGAAAATTGTGGCCAAGTTTAACAAAAAACTGTCAGACGACTTCTTAAAGCAGTTATGTTTGGTTAAACTTGGCCCAGTAGTTTCAGAGGAGAATATTTTTGTAAAAGTAACCGACGACGACGGACGCCAAAGTTATGATAAAAGCTCGCTTGGCCCGTTGGGTCAGGTGAGCTAAAAAAAAAATAGCTCTTAAAGACTAAGGCAGGTCTACCAGCAGAAAACCACCGTGACAGATCAAAAGCATAGAATGAGCAATTCACTAGTGTATCTACTAAGAAATCATCGACTGAAGATGTACCAATAAAGAAACCATTATATCCAAAATTACGGTGTTTAAATATCACAATTCGTTCGCTATGCCCGTGTCTGTAGTGACGTTTTGGATTTCAATGAGCGTAATCTATGTATTACAGATAACTTATTAAGTCAGGGATTTCGTTGCTACAAATTACTTAAACATTTACTAAATTGTTCCATAGATACAAAGACTTGGTTTGCAAGTTTGGTTGTACCTGTAGAAAACTTATTTCAAACAAAATAGCACATCCTAATTTTACGGGAATATTGTACCTAGCCCGGAAATTTAGATACGATCCCGGTAAACTTATCAATCCTTTTAATAAAATTATTCTAAAAGGTTACCAATTCAACACTGTAATTACATCTTTCAATATTGTTTTTATTGGTATAAAATTGATTTTGTTATCAGTAAATTAAAACCATACTAAATATTATTGTTATACACATATGCACATTCACGTAATTTTGGATATAATGGTTTCTTTATTGGTACACCTTCAGTTGATGATTTCTTAGTAGATACGGTATTACAATCTTTCGATACCTATAGTTTGTCATTACACAAGGTCATGTTTTTCTCTGACTGTTAATGAGGTCTTTACACTAAATCTATTGGATGTTGGATGTGTACTGATTAATATTTTAGTCTTGGATACATGATTTTTGTATTAGTTGTTATTGGCTTTGAACTAGCTGTCAGTAACTACGAGTACTCTCATATCTTTACTTAGTGTCTTTTTGTTGTGGAATGTATATATACGCTACCACGTCCGGTCTATGTTTTCGTTAGATGTTTTCTGTTTTGTATCGATCTGATGAGTTGAGCCCTTTTCAACTGATTTTTACAGAGGATGACCTTGAGGTCATTCCGATGTATTGCTATCGCCTAAATTTCCATTATGCAAATTAGTTTTGGGATTTCAACCGATCTATAAAAATTATAGATCCGCGGTCATTACAAGGGAAAAAAGTGCATTTTTATACCTGCGATTCCGTTCTCCGTAAC